CTGTTTCTCTGTGCACTCCATGCTGGGAGTGTTTTCTGGCACAGAAGAGTCCCAAGCATCTCAGTTTTATGAAGAAGATCCTGATGTGTGTACGTAATGATCCTTTTAATATATCAGTAGGTAGCAGAAATAGAATCTTGGAGGGGGTTTCAGTGTGGGTTAGAATGACAGTGCTGGGGTTTTAGAGTTTAGATAAACACTTCCCTGTTAATCAGATCGGGTATATGGACTTTTTTTTTTCCAGGGTTTTGTCCTCTCTTGCTGTCATTTTTAGATTCAGCAACTTGGGAATAATTTTTTGGCCACATAAGTTATAGGGGCTGACTCATGTCTTCTTCCCAGCCAGCCACGTGTTCATGCATGTTTTCCCTGACCTGATAGGGAGATGATCCCTTTCTCTTAATAGAAATTAGTATGGGTAGATGTGAGCTTCATGAAAAGCAAACAAGCCAAACAGTCACTTTTGTTACTTCCTTTTTTCCTCAGGGTTTCCTGTCTATCCTTTCCTTCTTTGGGTGTAGCAATTTACCTTTATCATAATTAAGAATAGAACTAATAAACCATAAGCATTTTGACATTTATTTTGCTGTGGTTGTCAAAACATTACTATCATGTCAATTTAAAATAGTCTATTCAACCTATTATATACTTAAACATGCCTAGTGCTGCAAACATCCCCCTTGAAACAGTGAGTTAAAAAGTCATTGAAATTGGTTGCCCGAGATACTGCCCTGTGGTATTGTCTCTGTGAGCTGAGCAGAAATCGGAGAAAACGATCCACCCACGTGATGGAAACCTTTATTCTTTAACAAACCACAGAAATCTGTTCTTGACTTCTCTTGCAGCTGAGCGTGCTCTAGATACCATGAATTTTGATGTGATCAAAGGAAAACCCATTCGCATCATGTGGTCTCAGAGGGACCCCTCCTTGAGGAAGTCAGGGGTTGGGAATGTCTTCATTAAGAACCTGGACAAATCCATTGATAACAAGGCACTTTATGACACATTCTCAGCGTTTGGGAATATTTTGTCCTGCAAGGTGAGATGTGGTTACTTTGTCCAATTCTGTTATGATCAGACATGTCCAGTGTAGGAAGTGAAAGGGACACCTTTCACCAAGTGAGGAGTGGCGTCTCTAAAAGGCAGAGTTGACCAAAAGGTCAGGGATTGCTGAAGTCAAGTCAGATTTGGTCATGAATTGTGCAAATCTGAAACACAGATAACATCTATCCTAGTGTTGACCCTTGACAGTGACCTGTTTTCAAGTGCTGGCCTTGTGTCTGAGTGTGACAGCGGAGAAAAGGTGTTCAGAGAGCTGACATTTTGTTTTCTTTCTGCCTCTCTAGGTGGTGTGTGATGAGAATGGCTCTAAGGGCTACGCATTTGTGCACTTTGAGACCCAGGATGCTGCAGATAGAGCCATCGAGAAGATGAACGGCATGCTGCTAAACGACCGCAAAGTGTGAGTGTCACAGCCAGAAGCAGCAACGATCGCATGAACCGTGATGCATCTCGGTATTAACAGGGACACACAAGGCACTGGTTCTCCTGGCCCAAGCCTTGGCCTGCTACCTCTCCACTACAGGGCTGGTGAGTGACCCTGCCCAAGCCATGGCCTGCTACCCCTCCATTACAGGGCTGGTGGGTTTCCCTAACCAAGCCTTGATTTGCTACCTCTCTGCTAGTGGGCTGGGGTGGGTTCTACGGCCAGTACTCTCTCCACTGCAGAGCTGGGTGGGCATCCTTGTCCAAGACTCTCTGCCATAGGACAGGTGATTTTTCTGGTTGGTCTGTGGCCTATTTGTCCTTCTTCTGTCACCCTTTCTTGTCCCCATTCCCAGTTCCTACTACACACTCATTTTTTGCCTCACTGCATATCACACATTGTTTTTTCTGCTCTTGAAAACAAGCTGCTTATTGAGATTTTCATTTTTTCTTACAGATTTGTTGGGAGATTCAAGTCTCGTAAAGAGCGGGAGGCTGAGTTGGGAGCCAAGGCAAAGGAATTCACCAATGTTTATATTAAAAACTTTGGGGACGACATGGATGATGAAAGACTAAAGGAGCTCTTCAGCAAATATGGTAAATACAGAAACACTTTGAATGAGGCTGTGAACCTCATGACCCATAGCAGTTTAACAGTGCTGCTGCCATCTGGGTAACTCTATGTGGGTCACTTTGAGGCTGAGGAAAAGTTGAAGTATGGGTAGTAGTTGTGCCAAATGTTGGACAGGAGGCAGAGGCTGACCAGCAGATGAGAGAGGGAGGGCTGGGGCTATTATATGGAGTTTAATAGTCTTGAAATAGTTCTATGATATCTTACTAATCCTGTCCCTTGGTAACAGGTAAAACTCTGAGTGTTAAAGTGATGACAGACCCCACTGGAAAATCCAAAGGCTTTGGCTTTGTAAGCTTTGAAAAGCATGAAGATGCTAACAAGGTATGAACACTTTTTTTATGCTGCTTAGGTATTTTCAGAGAAGAAAAACTTACTTGATTTATCATAGGACCCTGTTACTAAATTGAGAGAAAATTCTGCCTCGGGTGTAATCTCTTCTAGGCGTGGGGACTTGGAAGCCTTTTGCACCTTACTAGCTTGATGTTCAGGGGTGACTTGACATTTCTCCAGATTACTAGATCCACACAGAGTGCAGTGGTATAATCAAGAACGTTAATTGCCGAAGAAATACCACAGTGCAGGACCTCAGGAGGAGGAAGGTGTCCTGAGTGAGAACACTGCTTAGAAATGGTCTTCGCTAAGCAGAATACTTGTTAAAATTTGGCCTTAACTGTAAGAAGGGGTGGGGATAAATTCACAAGTTGCTGTCAATCCAGCACTGATAACTTCAGTTTGGCTTTAATTAGCCATTTAATTTGCAAGCAGTGCAAAGGTAATATGGCAACCTTGGTTTACTGGCCAACAGGCAGGGATACAATGTGGACTTCGGACAGTCCTGTTCTTGATAGGATGAGGCGGTGTCTTGTTTCAGCAGCTGACAGTTTCCTCTTGAACCCTCTATCCAGGCAGTAGAAGAAATGAATGGAAAGGATATCAATGGGAAAATGGTATTTGTAGGCCGAGCACAGAAGAAGGTTGAGCGCCAGGCAGAGCTGAAACGGAAGTTTGAACAGCTAAAACAAGAGAGACTCAGCCGGTACCAGGTGAGTAAGTCTGTTTCTTTCCTAAATTTAAGCCCCATTTTCAGTCTATTGGCAGACCTGAAAGGAATTGACAAAGTAATCAGTCACTGTCCTGTGAGAGATCCTGGGAGTTAATATGTAAAGGCAACTCTGGTATTTGGGGGCAAAGGGGGTATTGGCATAGTCTTGGCAATAAAGTGTTTAGGAGGGCATGAGAGAACAGTCATGCAGTCTCCTTCAGACAGGGACACCTAGAAGGATGGAAGGAGATGGCGTAACCCTGTGCTTTATGTCTCTCTAATTTATGGCCAAACTGTGTCATGTCAGAGATCGCATCGGAATCTTTCCTACTCCTTGCAATGTAGTGCTGGACTGGGGATGCATGATGCAATAGGAAGGCAGAGGAAATCCAGACAAGCTCCCTTTCACCACAGTGGGACTTGTCTCTACGCCTTTGCAACATTTACCGCCTTCAGCTTTGGATAGTACGAAAGGAACACGCTAAATTAAGAGTTTTCAGACCAATTACAGCTCTGGCAGATGGATGCTAACAGTTGATGTGCTTGACGAGATTTTTCTTTAATGTTACGAGTGTCTTATTATTCTCTCCCTTCTAGGGTGTTAACCTGTACATTAAAAACCTAGATGACACTATAGATGATGAAAAACTGAGGAAGGAGTTCTCACCTTTTGGGTCAATAACAAGTGCCAAGGTATTGTGGGGTTTGGGGGTATTTGGATTTTAAAGCCTGAAGAAGGAGCGGTTATCGACATGGGATTGAAGCGCAGTTCTTGTATCCCCTGGTCATTGTGGTCCTGAGAACATCTGGACTAGTAAATAAACAGATTTCTTTGGGTCTCGGTGGGATTTTACTGAAAACTTGCTTCATTCCCTCATGAAAAGAGGAAGCAGGAAGTGGCAAACGTGCTTGTTTGAGGTGGCTGCCAATGAGCATGAAATGGCATTTCCCTACGTGCGTTTAGAGGCTGCACCAAATCTTTCCCATTCCTTACTGTGCGGTGTGGGCCTGGGGACACATGGTGCTTAGAGAAAAGCAGAGCAAATCCAGACAGGTGACTTCTTTCATTGAGTACCTGTCTCTACACCTCTGCAACAGTTATGTCCTACCTGCCTGAAATCTGACACTTAAAACCCATGGATTCTTAGGCCGAATTCTTGTACTGGTACTCCACTAGCAATTGATCTTTACTGCAGGTGATGCTGGAAGATGGACGGAGCAAAGGGTTTGGCTTTGTCTGCTTTTCCTCTCCAGAGGAAGCTACAAAAGCTGTGACAGAGATGAATGGGAGAATTGTGGGCTCAAAGCCGTTGTATGTTGCACTTGCACAAAGGAAAGAAGAGCGAAAGGCCCATCTAACTAATCAGTACATGCAGCGCATTGCTGGGATGAGAGCCCTGCCTGCCAACACAATTATTAATCAGTTCCAGCCTGCTGCTGGGGGATATTTCATGCCTGCTGTGCCCCAGGTAAGCTGAGCTAGTGTGGGTTTTTAACCTGTCTTGGAGCTTTGATGGTTCAACTGCAATAATCTCGCTGAGCCTTTCTTATGCCTATAAGCAAATAACTCCCTAATGAGGGGTGCAGTCAGTGGGGTTAATTCTGTGACTTCCTAGCTGCCTGTTCTCTTCATGTGAATTGCGTGTTGAGTCCTGGCAACAACTGCCAAAACACATTGTAAACAGTGTTTGTTATTCACTTGGATGTTGCCTCTGAGCTTGTCTGATCTTTCTTCAGGCTCAGAGCAGACCCACTTACTATGCACCTAATCAAATGACGCAGATGAGACCCAACCCGCGCTGGCAGCAAGGGGGAAGACCTCAAGGTGAGCATGCTAGAGACGCTATTTTGGTTGTATGACCCTCTTGGCTGTACTTTCCAACAAGAACAGTGCATGCTTTCCTTTCCGTGCACAACCCCAACCTGCTTTCTGTAGCTGACTGTCCTGACTTGCCAGTCAGTTCTGTTTTGAGGATTTCCCGTCATTTCTTCCATTAGGCTTCCAGGGAATGCCAAATGCCATGCGCCAGTCTGGACCACGGCCAGCACTGCGCCATCTGGCCCCTGCCGGCAATGCTCCGGCCTCTCGTGGCCTCCCTGCCGCTGCCCAGCGAGTTGGTAAGGTGTCTGCCTCCCAGACTCTTCCCCTTGGCTGTGAGGGAGGAGGAAGCTGTTGAGACTTGACTTCTTCCAAAGACGGTTGTCAGATGCGGATAACCAAAGGCCACCTGGAGCAAGGGGCAGAGACAGCACCTGAATCTCTTCTATTCCTTGCTGTGCAGTGCAGGTCTGGGAACAGTTGGTGCTACAGCACAGCAGCGGAAATCCAGATGGGTTGCTTTCCACTGGTTTGGAACTCATCTCTACACCTCTGCAATATATACCACTCCAAAAAAAAAA